TGCTCTGTGCCATACTGTATAATACCATCATACTATGAATGCTGATGTGACTGGGTAATGGTGCTTCTTTTATGTATCGTCCTCCTTTGTCCTTCAAAGGTCTGTGTCACAGCTCTTCCCCAAGACAGATGTTGTGATAGTATATAATGTGTTGTGTCAAGGTGCTTTGTTTCCATTGGTGCAGCAGCACCGGGGGCACAGCACTTGCTTATTCATGATGCCTGATCAGATCCCAGGTAGATTAAACCGCTCCTCCATTTTTAATGAAAAAAAGCCCTTTCCCGGGACATAAATATCATGCAATGCGTTTTCCATGCAACCTGCCCTAGTGGAGGTATAGGGAGTCAAATGGGATGGGAAGGTCAGTGTCAGTTAGAACTCTGTTAATGTACAGGGCTACATATTGACCTGAAACATGGAGAAACCAAAGAAACCATCCTTAAACGTATTGATTTAAGTAGGTGCATTTCACCAGAGGGGACAAGGACAGGTACAGACATGTAGAGGTCACTATCGCTCTTGTTATTACAGTACTCTGATATTAATTTGCCGTCATTCCCAAAAACATGATTACCACATTTGACATCATTTTCCCTTGCAAATGTGTGCCAAACCGTTTACTAAAAGTAATAAGCAAATTAAGTAGAACATCTGTGGTTTCATAGGTTGTTACACCTTGAACCTGAGTTGGTTTTAGTGCAGAATGTAAATATGAAGTGGTGGAAAGAGAGGGCCATTTCCTCCCCTCAGGATCTGCAGTAAACACCCACATTAGGCCCAGGGACAGTAGGTTGCTGTAAGGAAAGGTCACTGCTGCTGTTCTATCACAAATACACAGCTCCGGTCCTTTCCTCTTATTTGTAGTTCTTATCTGAAGTCTCCTTCGACTTGATACTCTATGCTTCCCTGAAATACAACATCTTTGCCCAGGAAACCAAGCCAACATGATAATAGCTTACAAGAATGAATTATTAGTGTTGCATTGTATGTACAATATTCCTTAAATTGAGCCAGACTATTGATTTTCTATAAGCTTTCTACTCAGTCTATGCCACATAAAGGTGTGCATATGTATTTTCGGCTGTATGGATTCTGGACAAGTTATATCTGAAGAGGAGATTGAAGTGAATCTATTGATAACTCAAGAGGCGGAGACCTTGCAGATACAGCAAACGTGAGCAGTCCTCACTATGGATTATGTGGTCTTTCCAGGAACTTTAAACAATAAATATCAAAGGAATTAATGTACTAAGAGGAGAATGCATTGTCAGAGCTGTGACAACTCTCAACTGTTATCTAAGAGCCACTCGCTGCATTATTGCTCCGCATTAATGAGAATTCTGGCAGCGCTGCCAAGCAGCAACAAAGTGCCAGCAAGGTAACAGGTTGAGATATCCGGCGCTTAAAGTGTTGATTGCTGTGGAATAATTACAACTCAGGAAGTGCTGCCTCGTCAAGAGGACTGAATAGGTAAGTAAATGAATAGGGCACCGGGTGGGTGGGTGGCTGTAATTGAGTGCATCCTCAGTTGGCATACAAGAAGTGCTGACTTTATGTGAGCACAATGATAAGGCCTATTGGCGCCTATTTTCATTGGCCATGGAAAAGCAGAAACAAGCTGCAAACTCTGACATATCACCTTTTGAGTAAATATTGCATACACAACCAGCGGATACGTAGCAACATTAGCATAAATTTGGAGTCACGTGATGAATTTAATTCCAGTGTTCACTCTTCTTTTAGCTATTTAACTCTCAAGCTGCTAAATATTTAAGTTTCACCCCCAGCTAGCTGCAACCTTTGCCGGAAATAGAGCAGTGAGACTGAACCAAAACGTTTAAGTTGCAGGCCAGAAAACTAAAACAATAAGCTGAAAGAATTCATAAACCTTCCTAGGGATCTGTAGATGGAGTGGGATCGCTTCTAGTGACCCCTTTCACACACAAGTTTTCATGTGATCCATTGTCAGTATAAAATTATTTATTGTAGCCACTTTACAATTATTGGATGGGTGAATTCGCAATTTACCAATTAAAAGCAAAGTTTCTTGAGTTAATGAAGCTCTACATTTATCTACAGCGCATGAGTCATAAGGATCTGGTTAGGTTGGATGGTGGCAAAACTCAGGACTTAGACACATAAGTCCAGGTTTCACCTCCAGACCCCCGTCTGTGGTTAGGTTTAGGCAACAAAAGCACTTTGGTTAAGGTTAGGGGAAGATGGTGGTTTTAGTTTAAAGTTGTTTTAAAGTCATTGCAGACTTTTTCTGAATTAAAATAAGATTGTGAGCTTTCGCTTATCTTAATCAAAGTGCTTTTGTTGCCTAAACATAAACCTTAAGTGTTAACCAAGTTTAGTAATGCAGTAGTCACTGCCAGCGGATGTTGAATGGCCACATCGGATATTTTGGTGGAAAACAAATTAAATTCACTAAAAAGACAAAAGTATTGGGACACACCGCTCATTGAATTCAGTTGTTTCATCCAGTCCCATTGACACAGGTGTATAAAACCAAGCACCTAGCCATGCTGTCCTTTAAAAACATTTGTGAAAGAACGAGCCATTCTAACGATCTCCCTGGATTTGAGCGTGGTGGTGTAATAGGAGTCAGTTCGTGAAATGTCTTCACTCCTGGATATTCCACAATCAGCTATAACAGGTATTATTGCAAAGGGGAAGCGTTTAGTAACAACAGCAACTCAGCCATGAAGAGGCAGACCACATAAAGTTACAGAGAGAGGTAGACGAGTGTTGAGGCACATGCTATGTAAAAGTCAGCAACACTCTGCTGACTCAATAACTGCAGATTTCCAACCTCCTCTGGCACATCAGCACAGAAACTGCGCACCGGGAGCTTCATGGCATGGGTTCTGAAGTTAGCCCCTAGACCCATTAGTTCTACTGAAGGGAAAAATTAATGCATCGGCTTACCAAGACATTTTGGAAAATTCTAAGCATCCAATTTTGTGGGAACAGTTTAGGGAAGACCCTTTGCTGTTCCAGCATGAATGTGCCCCAGTGCACAAAGCAAGATCCATAAAGGCATGGTTGGATGTGTTTGGTGTGGAAGAACTTGACTGGCCCACACAGAGCCCTGACCTCAACCCTATAGAACACTTTTTGGTTAACTAGAACAGAGATTGTGAGCCAGGCCTTCTCGTCCAACATTAGTGTCTGAACTCACAAATGCTCTTCTGGATTAATGGGAAACAATTCCCACAGACACACGCCAAAATCTTGTAGAAAGCCTTCCCATAAGAGTGTAAGCTGTTATAGCTGCAAAGTGGGGGCAACTCCATATTAATGCCTACATAATACATTATGGCATTACGTATCGTTATCATCGTATCGTTATCATTAAGCATCCACATAATTTCTAGGAGACATGGTTGGACTGTGTGCTCAGTAGTCATATTTTGTACCAGAGGTCATTCATCAAGCTATGAGATCACATAAAACAATGTCACAGTGTATACATCACTATTCTATTGAAATCCAAACTGTAAACCTAGGCTGTAGATAGTATTACATATAGAAAGCACAGTATGTTATACATTTATTCATCCACTTTTTTTTCCTCAAGTGTGTGTTATGTACAGTCCACTGTCTTGGCCAGAGCCCTGAGCCTTTACAAGACACAAAACAGAATGACTACATTCTCATACAGTGTTTGTACAGTCCCCTCCAAAAGTACTGGCAGATGTTTCTTGTTGCCCAGGTGTTGCCTTTTAGGTTTATTGTCCAAACATTAAATAGCTCTGCATGAATGTTTAAGTTTTCATCCTTGGTTCAAACCTATAAAGGCTGCATTTCCTGTTAAAGAGGATAAACCAACATGAAGTCCAGAGAGCTGACTATGAGAGAAAAGCAAGCCATTGTCAAGCTGAGAAAAGAAGGAAAAGCCATTGGACAAACATTGGACATAGCAAGCACAACAATTTGGAATGTCCTGAAAAAGAAAAAACTACTGCCGTACTGAGCAACAGATGTCGAACAGGTCGGCCAAGGAAAACAACAGTAGTTGATGACAGAAATATCATGAGAGCTGTGAAGAAAACCCCCAAAACATCAGTAAGTGACATCACCAACAACCTTCACAGTGCAGGGGTGAAGGTATCACAGTCCACTGTTGGAAGAAGACTCAGAGAGTAGAAATACAGAGGCCACACCACAAGATGCAAACCACTCATCAGCAGGAAGAATCGGAAAGCCAGATTGAAATTTGCAAAGAAGTACAGAGATGAACCACAAAAGTTCTGGAACATAATCTTATGGACTGATGAGACCAAGATTAATTTCTACCAAAGTGATGGAAAGGCCAAAGTGTGGAGACAGAAAGGAACTGCTTATGATCCGGAAGCATACAAGCTCATCTGTGAAGCATGCTGGAGGTAATGTCATGGCTTGGGCGTGCATGGCTGCTTCTGGAACAGGCTCATTAATATTTATTAATGATGTAACTGATGATGGTAGCAGCAGAATGAATTCAGAAGTGTACAAAAACATTTGGTCTGCCAGTTTAGGGAGAAATGCATTGAAACTAGTCGGGAGGAGGTTTATCATGCAGCAGGACACTGACCCAAAGCACACTGCCAACAAAACAAAGGACTTCATCAGGGGTAAAGCGTGCAAAGTTTTAGACTGGCCAAGTCAATCACCTGACCTTAACCCAATAGAGTATGCATTTCACTTCCTTAAGAGGAAACTGAAGGGAGAAACACGCCGAAAAAAACAAGAACTGAAAGAAGCTGCAGTAAAAGCCTGGAATAGCATCACAAATGAAGAATGCAACAGTTTGGTGATGTCGTTCGGTCGCAGGCTTGAGGCAGTTATTGCAAGCAAGGTTTATGCCACCAAATATTAAATGTTATTTTAAATGTTATTAAGATTATTTGTTCCATTACTTTTGCTCACCTGAGAATTCTGTGGTCGAATACAAACGGTGATATGTCCTATGTTTTAACACATCTAGATGTGAATACCAAGAAATAAAAGCTGAAATTCTGAATTCTTGTCTCATTCTCATCTTTTGATCTTAAACCCAAATGTCTTCAGTGAACAACAAAAACAAAAGGAATTTGCCTTACCGTTCCAATACTTTTGGAGGGGACTGTATGTCAGCGGCATTGAACATAGTTTAATCAGTAATCTACAGATGCCCCAATTTGGCATCATGCAAAATATTGAGCTTACAGTGTAGTAAAGATACTCACAATCTTCAGGTTGTCTTTTCTAGTCCATTCCATACTTAAAATACTGAATAAGGCCAGGCACTGTGTATAGTGGTAAGTTGTGATAAGGTTATTATCGGTCCATGTAGGGGAAAAAAAGAAAAAACGCTCCCACAACCAGCTGGCAGGGATGCATGACAGACATCAGCTTTAAGTGCATCTTGCCTTTCTCCTCCACGATGTCCTGTAGCCTCAGGTCTCCCACATGCCGCTTCTAAAAGGTTAAACCTCCCGTTCCCTCCAGCTGCTTGCCTCTTATCTCTGTCCATCTCTTCTGTAATGGATCGGTGCTGCTGGATCACTGAGGGACTCCAGTGGAGAAGAGTTGGGGGATTATTAACCCTTCCATCAGCATGCACACACCACCTCTCAAAATCTCTCGCATAGTGCCACTTGCTCCACCAGTGTTGTGCAATTGCGACCCTGAACAAGAGATGAGCGACCAAAGGTGTGCTGCTATAGTACCTTATTTACATTAATATTACATTCACATTCTTCAGCCACTGTCAGTTTAAACATACACACAGTATTACAAGATCAACCTGCTCTATTGAACGTATTAAACTTTCCTCCTATAGAAGGTTGTAACATTTGATGAATCTGATACTGACCAACTACAATAACTCATATTGCGCATTTTGTAATGTTCACACCAACCAGCCATGATGAACAAAACATTAAAGCTTAATGCTTTCAGTCTGTAACTAAGATAGACAGTCATTGTCAAAAAGACTTACATTATTGCAAGTTAACAGAGGTCCTTTTTGCCTTTTTTTTTTTTTGCTCCGACCAAACTTTCAGTAAATCCACTTTTCCCGAGTAAAGATAAATGATCTTCCAGATCCAAGTAGCCTCAGTTACTACAGCATCGTAGCACTTCATGCTCCTCTTCAGACCATATTCAGATAAGGAGAGAACCAATGCTCATGCACTGATCATTACTTTCCCAGCCAGCCACCGTTCCTTGGCTTAAACTACATTCTGCTCCAGTAAGGGCGGATGTTCTTTAGGTTGCTGTAGTTGTTCGGTCCTCAGGTCCTGCTGCTGCTCAGTTGGAGGCAACTGCTGTTGTGTTGGATCAGATTTTAGGATCTTCTTCTGGAGGGGCTGCGGTGATGTCGCCTGCAGTGGCTCTGGATTGGGCATCTCTTTCTTGTCACTGGGCTGAATCTCCAGAGCTGGTGTGTCCTTGCAGCAGAGATAATGCTGCCAGATTTTCCTGAATGCCGTGCGGAACTTCTTAATGCGGAATGCGTAGACGATTGGGTTGACAGCAGAGTTGCCGTGGGTGAGCAGGATGGCGATGTAGAGGAGGACTATGGGCTTCTCGCACTCAGGGTAGAATAGTGTGATGCAGTTGATGATGTGGAGGGGGAGCCAGCTGATGGCAAAGAGAAAAAGAACCAGAGCCAGCGATTTAGCAAGATTCAGCTCCTTATCATAGTACTTGTTGGGGTCTGAGTGACTGGTGGTGAACTTCTTATTGTTAAGTTGCTTGTGGATCATGTAGAAGATCTCTGCATAAATGACCAGCATGAGCAGCAGCGGCGGCAGCACCCAGCCGAAGAAGTTGAAATAGACCATGTAGTCCATGCTGATGACGTTTTCAAACTGGCAGGTGATAATGAGGTCAGAGCTGATGGAGCCGTTCTGCTGGAGGCGACTCAGGTTGTTCCAGCCAAACATGGGCGTGAGTCCCACGATGAAAGCCACCATCCAGCATATCACCACTGCCAGCCCCGCTCGCCGAGGGGTCACCACTCGCTTGTACCTGCAGGAGCAAAAAACACATGTCACGTCAGCACTTTCTCTCACAGCGCTGTCAGGGCAGCCGTGCTTTTGAATTTATTTCATTTTTCATTTAGGCAGTGTCCTTGAATTGAAAAAAGGTGTGATTCATAAGAGAGCATTTAAAGTCTCTTCACACTTTACACACAGCAGTACATACTTCTACTTGAGCAAGTACCGGCAAACCCTCATCAATAAACCTTTGCAGCACTGCTGCTTCTTTTGTTCAGGTCAAAATGTAATGATTGTTTTTTTAATTTCCTCAATATTTCGAATTTATTAGAGCTTAGTACTTTTACTTTTTTATTGTTTATACTGTTTTGTGGATAAGAAGCAGGAAGTAGATAACGTTAAAAGGTGCAGGGGCTCTAAAATCTTATCACAGCTATCCTGAGAGAGAAACTCAGCGTGATACTTGCCTAGAGGCAGGGATGAAAACTGTTATTAGATCCAGCGCATGTTGTAAAGTGTGAATAGCAACAATTGATCCCTTTAGGATTACTAATGGTTGAAATTTACGAATGTAGTAATTGTAAGGGAAACAGCATTACAAAATCCTGACCTTTGCTAATGTGTAGCCTGAAGCGAAAACAAAATGCTGCAATTTAGCCCGCCTGTCACAGCTGCCATGTCTTTAGAATTGATTAGGGATGTATGTGTTAAGTAAGTTCTGAGTCTGAAGCACAGCAACAAGACTGTCATTCACACCTTGTATCCGGGACCCAGTCTGCTGATATCAGATGCAGATTTTAACAACAGGGAGTGTGGGGACGGAAATTAGAAATACAAACTAAATCATAAACTAAAAATATTCTAATTTCTGGAAAACATATTGTTATATTGCTATATTGAACTATTATCCCTCTTACTGACAAATATAAGTTGTGGGAAGGGAGTGGCAGAGCACTCCCTACTGAGCCAATGTCTGATTTAAACGTTGTTATGGAAGACAGCATTAAGCTTGGAGGGTTTCAGACAAAATAAGCAGTGAAAAGCTAATAAAATCCTGATAAACTGCTATCGTAAGCATGGAAGACTTAGTAAAGACAACAGGAGATTAAAGTTTGAGACTACTACAGACAATATTGTCTGAAAATAAATTCCCCTCTAAGCTTATCTTTTCAGCCTTTCAGCACCACTGCTCAGTCTTTTGTTTCAGCCTGGTATGATAAACCACTGGTGGTCCTGTGAAATAAATACACAGAGACAGATTGAATAGTTGACAGCAAACCTGACCTCTTTTGTGCCCTGGAGAAACACAGAAAAAAGATTCTCCTGTATACAACCCCACTCCCCAAATGTCCTGCTATTGTACCACTCCCGCACATATTGGCCATCTTGGGGCCAGAAGAACTAATTAAAGCTGTTGGTTGATCAGCCATGCTGTGATTGGCTCTTATGTTATGTTAGTGAGTAAGATCTACATGCAATTAAAGGGACTGGCAGGATGGAGGCATCCTTTGAAAGGAAACACGACCCAAATCAATGCCCGGGAAGACAGCACTGTGTGTGTGTGTGTGTGTGTGTGTGTGTGTGTGTGTGTGTGTGTGTGTGTGTGTGTGTGTGTGTGAGAAGAGGCTTTCTTTTGGGAAAGAAAACAGTGTCATCATCAACATCATTGTTATCACCATCATTACCACCTCCCTATATGGCACTGATTATTCATCCCCATTACCTGGTCGGGATCTTGACTCTGAGATAGCGGTCAATTGCGATGGCCAGGAGGGCCAGGATTGAACTTTGCGTCAGCACCAGCACCGTGCACGCCACCAGCAGGCAGCTGTAAAAGTGAGTTTGGAGTCCGATGCTGATCGTAATGGCCAAAGGGATAACGAGGGCTCCCACTGCTATATCCGCCAGGGCAAGGGAGACAATGAAACAAAACGTGTTGTCTCGCAACGATTTGTTAATTTTCACCGCCCAAACCACCATCACATTCCCGATCACAGACGCGACTGCAATCGCCACCTCCATCCCTATGTAAAGCCACTGGGAAAGTGCTCCGGGCATTCTTGCAGATGAATATGTCCTAGATGAGAACAAGTCTTGAGAGAAGCCTACAGAGCAGTCCTTGGTTATCTTTTTGTCACTTCGGTATTTTCCAAACGAGCTGTGCCTCCATCAGTTTCACAGTGCCCACTTTCTCCTGGTTACCAGATATCCATTTCAAGAAAAATCTAGTGGGTTTTTTTTAGATGAAGAAACGCGTTGACCAGCAGTATATCATAAGCATAAGGGCTTTCCCTTTGGAGCAGGTGTTGTGGTCCAGTCGCTGTTGTGCGTCGCTCCTGCTCTGCGCCTCCACTTGACAGAATACACCTGCTCCTGGTGAGAGCAGCATCCTTCCCGTGCGCTCCAATTTATCCAAGAGGATGCATCATCTTCATCAGTCGACGTGTTGAATTCAACAAAGCAGGGGTTTTTTTAACCAAGCAAATATCAAACTATCTTCTGCATGAAAGCGCGCAGTTGCAGCTCCTGCGCAGACGAACTCTCCCTCTTTCTCTCTCCCCCGCTCTGCTTTCACTAAGAGCAATAGCCTAATGCAGTTGCCGAAAATAGCCTTTTTGTGTGAGATATATAACCTTGGTTTCACTATGAATGCATCTTTGTCATTTGGCGGGTGCCACTGCTTCATTTCCCGTGCAGAAATAAATTAATACTGCTGCCTTCTGCGGGACCGTCCCGAGGAAGTCAGGTAGTGCAGAGGTGATTTGAACTCACACTTGTGTTCTCTACAACGCCATCCACGCCCTTTCAAATGCTAATGGACCTTGCTCTGTTGTCCCTGTTCTGATAAGGGGAAGGCGGTGAACTGCCACAGCTGACATGGAAATAACACAGATAAAGCTAATGAAAATGGCAGAGATCATAGTGGCATATATACAATTCCCTACGTGATTAAGGACTGAGTAAACAGTGGGACATTTATGGAAGCACACAATATGAATTCCACTTCCTGTCTTTGCCTCCCTTACCACCAGATTTAAATGAGAAGCATACATCCCTAATACAAATAGATATTTAGGTCATTCTAAATATATTCATGCCTTCAGACTTCAAAGACCTCTGCTTTGAGCCTGAGGTCAGCCCTATCCTTCAAATTAATATAAAATATATAAGACAACAACTGGAAACCTTATGACTGATTTAGATCTATTGATCCACCTTTCAAAAAAATCATCTGCAGCTTTCTAAGAGGTTTGTGGAAAGGAGATTCCCTGTTTTTAACTTTGACCATTTAGGAGTCAGGGAGGTCTACGTGACACAATAACCCTTCCCGTCGCTTTTTGAGAAACACACAATGAACCTTGAGCAGCTGTGCATTGCACACATACATAGTGAACTACAGCACTGGCATCTTGTGCTCCCTCGCTGTGGTTCAAAGTTCAACAGCAGGCGTGAGCTCTCCAACCACGGCAGGATCTCTATTTTCACACCCAGGCAGGATGGTAGACTGGATGTGAAGGCGTCCCAGATGGTGCACTGTGCTCACTCACTGTAATTCATGTACATGGAAGAAGTGCAGGTTGGAAGCCCAGGGTGTCAGCTAACAGTTATGTGATTCAGAGTGGAACAAAAACAAATGGCAAAGTAGGCCGACTGTGGGTAACCTTCATAAAGAGACACAGTGTGTGACGGCAGGACGGCCAACAGTTAGCAGGAGCTCCGCTGAAGACAGTTTCCATCTGTGACCAGAGTCATGGTCAGAGATGTCAGCGAGAGTTATAGAGGTCGGCTAGTAAGCTGAGGAAGGAAGCAGCCATATGGTCTGCTTTCGGTGATTGGCATCAGACCCACTTCTGACACTTTAACGAGAGATTTCTCATGCATTACCACTACCCGGTAATGCATGAGAAATCAATCATTATGGAGCAAATGGTGTGAGCTAACACATGGCAGACAATTATGGCAGACAATTAAGAGAGATTCTGAATGTTTTCGCTTTGAAATAAGCCTCCCTGTGAAGGTTGCATTTCCTTACATCAGTGCACTTTTTCAATTAGTTTTCAGTCTGTCAGTTCAAAAGAAACAAAGGGATACGGAAAGGCTTACTCCATCATTTCAGCTTGCAGTTTTCTAATTGTGTTTCTCCTTTTAGCAGCTTAGAAGCCCAGCATGGCCAACACACCTCATAATGCGGGTTGTGTTTGTTCACAAGTCACTGAGGGCATCGCTGCAACCTGACAATGTGTGAGCTATAAAACATTCCCTGTCTCCCATACGGACTTCCTAAAATAGCTAATACAAAGGCCTTTCGGGAATAAATTTGAACAAGTACTTCCATGACTAAGAATTCAGTTACACTGACTGCCATGTCCACAGAATCATGAGATGAGAAAATGGTTCAGTTAACGTTTGTCAGATTTTGCCATTTGGGGATGAGAAGTGCAATGTGTGCTTGGGTTTTATGAGATGGATTCCACAGAGTAATGCTCTTTTGCTGCTGAGTTCAGAATCAAAGCTATCTCAGCTGCTACACATATCCACAATTTATACATGGCCTTCAAAAATCCAGCTCGGAGTCTTTTGATTGGTAAAAAGGAAGCTTATCAGTTGTAAAGTTGACATGACAGAAAGGCTCACTAATGGGCGCAGGCACAGTGTGACACCCCCTCACAGCTTGTAAAGCACAGCAACCTTTTTGTTCTGACACAGCACAATTTGTGTGAAGGCTTCAACTACCTGGAGGAAGAACGGAGCACTGAGCCATGTCTGTATTCAAATGACAAAAGATAAGATAGTGTCTTCCTCCCCAGTGTCTTGTCTGCTGAACTAGGTTTAAAAACATTATTTAAAAAAACCCCACAAACCTGGCCATGAACTGCAGTGACATTCTCAGTGGACTGCTGAACCAGATGGCAACAACATTATTAAAACTGACAAAGGCTTGGGAGCTCGTACTATTAGCCACGACTCCCTAACAGAAAAACAGTTTAGCTATTTCAAACAAGACTGGGGCCATTGAGGGGAAAGGATTGCAGTGTTATTACAAGGGACGCTCCAGGAAAAAACAATCACAAGATTGATAGCCTTGACTCTGTCGCTCAGAAGACCGTCAATGAAATTCTCAGATAGGAGGTAATATGAAAACACTCAAGCTCTCGCATGTATCCACTGGACAACTGAACAAGCTCCCGAACAGCTGTTGGGAATGGATGTGGCATGGAAATTCTCCAGAAAACAAAACAAAACAGCGATGTCCTCAACATACTAATCTCTTCCATAGAAACTCTTTGTTTTCACACAAACATATGCCATTAACTCAGCTTGTTTCCTCTACACCATTAACATGAATGTCATAAAATTAAAGTTGGAATTGTTGTTGTAGGTCATAGTAAACAGCTGTACACAACGCAGAGTGAGAACATCTACAGAAGGCAGATTTTATTGTCTCAGGAGTAATAGATGTCATATCATTGAACGTGTGATTTTATGAATAGAAATACTGAACATTTGATTGTAGAACCAATGTGTTTGACGTTATTACAGTTGACATTATCCATGTGACCCACATTTTGGGTTACATTTCACATTTCTCATTATGGCTCATCATACACTGTAAATTGAAAGTACTTCACTATACTTATTTCTGTTACCCCCAGAGAAAACAATATCGTGCACATACTGAGTCTGGTGTAAGAGTTCCTCTCAGAGGTGCTTGAGACCTACAATGTGCCCATGAAATGAGCCACTTGAAGCTTGAGCTGACAGGGTGAAAATGAAAATGTCAGCTGCTAAGGTGGCAGCTCTCTGTCTGGTATCATAGAAAAGAAAAAGCATGAAAAGAAAAGCATGCATAGAAAAGCTGGGATATTGAGATGTGTGAGTGTAGGAGTCTAAGAAAAAAAATCAGAAACATTTTCTGGTTATTTAAATGATTTGATATTCATTAAACCATTCCGTTCATCATGTTATCTTCTTACGTGATGGTCTGAATTCAAACCCCTCTTCACACTGCCAGGAATCTAGCAATTCTGGTGGAAAAATACTAAATCCCATCATTTTATTTAAATTTCATCATTTTACCACAAAGACCCACATGTATAAAAATACCATAAAAAAGGAAATCTAGATAAGACTTAAATAAAAGAAATGGTAGGTAGCCCAATCCTCAGAACTAATAGGAGAGTAGTTCAACAATTTGGGAAATATACTGATTTGCTTATTTTCTCATCATGTACACACTCATCTGTAGTGAACACAGAAGTCAAATACAACATTTGTCAACTGTGTATTGATTAAACATATATAATTACTTAATTATTTAGCTTTAGAGATGCTGAATTTGTTACCTTTGGACAAACCCCGGGCTAGCTGTTTCCCCCTGTATAAACTCTTTATGCTAAGCTAAGCTAACTAGCTGCTGTAGCTTCATTTACCTTACAGACATAAGAGCGACATCAATCTTCTCATCTAACTCGATCTTCCTCCTTAGATGTTTGCATGAACCATGCAGTCTAATCATGTGTGTGTTTTCAGGAAGGTTTCTCTTTGATTATATTTTCTCCTTTCGGTGGTCCCTCAATAGCTGGAGCGTAACAGGGAATTGCCCAGTGTATCTCTGTCTCTGTATGTGTATGAGCGTGTGTTTGTATGTGTGCTGAAATGTTAAGTGGAGGTCCACTCCAACAAAAAAGCTAAACCCAAACCACAGGCTCCCTAATGCAGCTCTGTGGAGAGGGCACCTCCACGTCATCCAACACCAGCTCCAAATAAGATTACTGTGCAGCAAATACTGGATCTCCCACAGCTCTTCGCTCCATCCGTCTACACATAGGAAAACAGACATCAGCCACTGCCACTCTCTGCTTCTCACAAAAATATCAAGGTTAAATATATAATTAACCCATGCATGTTGACATTTTTAATACTCAGCAGACCTCGTCCACCCTGCCCACTGCTTTGCAGTGAAATGCTCTCCAGCAACCTACACACCAATCAGACAATTACTCACCGAGCTATTTGTAGACATGTGTAAGACAAAGTGAGGAACCCACATCCTGTTTCTATTCAGGTGGCTGCTATTTTTGAAATTGCTTATTGGTCTCAATTTCTCCACATGGTTGTGCGCCTATTGAAAGGCCTCTGGTTAATGAGGAACATATGCTCATATTACTGCTGCATAACAATAACTGGCAGCATTTGACAGCAGCATGTACAGAAACATGCCTCCCATGATCACTGCTTGCACATGAAATATGGACGCTTCATATTTTACATCAGCTGTTGATTGCAATTTTCTAATTTCTTAACAAAGGTGATAATTAGGGGAGTACAGTTTTTATTTCAAATTCTGTATATGCTTATTACTGCTTAAACTAATCTCACGGTATACAATTAGATCACTCCGTATTTAGAGGAAGTGACCTGAATAATACCTACTTTCAAAATACATGTCATCACTTCCCTTTGAAATCAGGCTCTTGTTCGTGTTCGCCTCAACAGTACTGAACTCTCTCTCAGCTCAGCATAGAAAGGCAACACAGAGGAAACCGGTGAAGAATCAGCGAAAGGGATAGAGAATATAATTAGATAGAAGAGTAATAGAGAGGCTTCAGTTAGGGATCGGCGCAGCAACTAGACAGATGAAAGAGGAGATGAAAGGAAATGGAGGAAGAGGTGGAAAAATTGTGTGGTTTAATGACAAAATTCTAAATCTAATCTATTTAAG